GTGCTGTCAAGCTAATAACCAGTTCCAGGGGATGCCTTGGACACATGGAGTTAGGGCCAGAAAAACAGAGCTTTCTAAACCCAAAGCTGAGCAGGAAGGTGAGGAGGAGCTGGGTGTTGTCCAGACAAGGGCAGGGCCACACAGAGCCCTTTCCACTCGTGGTTCCCACCCTGGGCTTGTGAGCAGAGCCTGAGCCAGGGCAGCTGAGCAGGGGTTCTGTCAGAGCTGCCCCTGTACCAGCCATCTGCCCCATCTGCAGGGGGCTGCTCCCCCAGGCAGAGCTGGCACTGCCCTCTGCTTGCTGCCTGCTGCTTCTGTATGAAGTCAGGTGGCTTAACCTAGTGATCAAGGATGATTTTGAGGAGAAAAAAAACCAAACCAACTGGATTTTGCACTAGCAGAAGGCACACATGTGTCTTCACTCCTGCTGGGTTCTGGAAGGGAGCAGCAACAGCCTGCTGGGAAAGGTGCAGCTGTAACTCGGCAGCTTTTTGCCAGGGATGTATGAGTTCAAACCATTCCTTTCATGTTTCTAACAGAACAATTTTTTTGAGTTTTAAATATTTTTTTTCCCCAAAAAAGGTACTTGGATACCTCAGACCCCTTGTCAGTGTCAGTGAAGGTCATTCAGCCCTTGCAGCACAGGACACGAGTGCTACACAGGAAAAGGAAATTATCTGATGAGGAAGAAAATAACTGGAGTTGTGGTGGCATTTGCATATTAAGTTAATTTTGCACTTTTGTCTGTCTAATTGCAGATGCAGATTCGTTGTTTGGAGTGGGGGAAATGACTCGGAGTTGATCTGGGTTCTGGTCCTGATCTAGTTTTATTGGCCTGTCCTGGTTTCTGCTGAGATACAGCCAGTTTTTCTTCCTAGTAGCTATAACAGTGCTCTGGTTTGGATTTAGTATGGAAATTGGTGTGAGAATTTTGATAATTTATTGATGTTTTTAGCTGTTGCTAGGAAATGAACTTTCTGACTTCCCATGTATTTATTGCTAGTGTGCAGGTGCACAAGAAGCTGGAAGGGAGCAGAGCCAGAGCAACAGACCAAAACTGGCCAGAGGGACACTTCATCTCATACAACATCATGCTCATTACACAGATGAGTGTGGGCTGGGAAGCTGAGGCTCTTCTGGGACTGTGGTTTGGGTATTTTCTCTCCTCCAGGGTCTCCAGCCAGTAACTGGTCAGTAGGTGGTGGACAAATGCATTGTGCATCACTCTTTTCTATGTTCTATTAGAACTATAATTATTATTTGAATTTTACTTCCATTATGAAATTGTTTTTATCTCAACTTAGGAGTCTTCTTACCCTAATCCCTCCAAGTCTCTCCCCAGTCTCCCTCCTGGGGCTGGGGAGTGTGAGTGAGCAGCTGTGTGGTGCTTGGCTGCTGGCCAGGTTCAAACCACAACGTGGCCTCTTGCCAACCCTGTGCTCCTGGTAACTGCTGCCAAGTGTCACAGGAAGATGTATTGCTGTCCTGTGTCTGAGGAAACCTGCATCTTCTGCTGCTTTGCTTGGCAATGTTGAAATGAAGCACTACAACTGTGTGTTTCATTGGGTCTTGATGAGAAGCACAACAGGAGGTGTGTCTGTCTGTCTGTAGGAGCGATTCTTACAAATGCTGTGCTGGGCATCACTGCTATGGCTGTGGTGTGTAAAGCTACAGCCAGGGCATTTTTTTGGCTCATTTAATTTCACTTTTCCCCACAGGTCAGTGACCAGTGGCAGCAATGTTCAGTCTAAACACTCAATTCTTTCTGCTGTCCAGAAAGGAGCTTTGGACACCTGGTGGATCAATGGGATTTGGAGGAGATGATGGAGCCTCTACCAGAGGTAAAAAGTCATTTGTACATTCAGCTTATTATGAGAGCTAAAACAGAACCACTTTTAACAAGACCTGAAGATACATTATTTTACTAACCCCTTTACTATTATTTTTATAACCTTTATATGTTTCCACTGCAGAAAAGTAAAACACAGAGGCACTAAAATCTGATGTAATTTAGTGTAGTTGAAACAGGCTTTGGTTCTGTTTATGGGCTCTGAGAGGAAAAGCATTCCAAAGGCAGGTGCTGAATTTAGGGGCAGGTACCTGATACCACAGTTACCACATAATCACATATTCCCCTAAATGTGGTTGGCTGGTTGTGAAGCTGCCCACGCCAGAACTTCTGGCTGCATTTTGAGGGGGCTGAGTCTAGTGCTTAGGTTATTCTAGGCAGCCAGGCAGGAACTGAGCACTGGTACACCTGAGGCTCCTTGACTCTGCTGTGCAGCTGTTTCAGTCACAGGCTGGATGCACAGCAACTGCAGCTGGCTTCAGCCAAGCTGCTCACACTCAGCCTTGAGGAGTTTTTTGAGTTCTGGCCCAGGGCAGGTGCTCTCACATGCTGTACTCACCCACTGACTGGAGCTGTTAGCAGGTCCCAGGGAAACTCCTGATAATGGCAGTAATGGACTAGAAATAATCATGGTTACCATTGGTCCTGTATTTGAGTTATTGATCTGAAACCTTAATGCCTTGTTGAGGACTTTATTTTGCTTGCTATGATGCCATCAGGTTGGGTAGTTTCTTATATGTGAATGTGGGTTGCCCTCTAGTGAAGAGAAGGGAAAAGCTTGCTTAAAAAAGAGCTGCACTTCTAAGAACTAGGTGCCAGAACTAAATGCAGACACAAGCAAGAAAACAGGTGATTGGTCTGTATATGATATGAGAACTATGCATCCTGCTTTAAGTCAGCTTAATTCCAGTTCCTGAAGTCTTTTTTGGCCTCCTGAAGAGGGGTTCTTCTTGCCTAAATTAAGATTAATGTTTTGTTAGGCAAATGCAGTAGCCTTTCTGCATTAACACTAGAAAAAAAAATAGGCTCTCAGAACATAGGATTAATCTTTTCTTAACACAGCCTGCTGAAGTAGGTCAGACAAACTATCTCCAACTGCCTATTTCTGCTGTTGACTTTAATTAGGCACATTTGGCAGCAAACTACAGACATCTGGCTGGATGAATCTGATGCTTGATGTTTTCCAGTTTACAGTAAATGTGCAGGGGGGTGGGTTGGGAGGGGGGTTGTTCTGGTTTGTTGCATTAATGTTTTGGTTTTGGTTTTTTTAAGGTGGCAGTGGGCCAAGAATGGTGCAGTCACACTATTTACTCAGTGCAGGTGAAGGAAACCACCACGTGTTGTCCTCTGCTAGAGGCAGGTTTAGCACCACAGCCTGTAAATGCAGCAGAAGAGCCACCCATGCCCTGGTCTTCATGCACAACACGGGAGCAGAGAAGAACAGGGGCACAAACAGTCAGCAAGTTGCACTTTGTTCTGACAGAGCTGCCATCCTCCAGAAAGTCGTGGTCCCAGCTGGTGTGCTGCACCACAGGCTGCTTCTGGAAGTTCTATCTAGAGTTCATATAACTGGTTTTGGGTTTGTGAGGGTTGTTGTTGTTGTGTTGGTTTTGGCTTTTTTCCTTAATAATTATTGCTGGGGAGGGAAGAAGGCAGTAAATTAGAAAGGAAGCTAAGCAGTAGATGATGGTGTTCTTTGAAATGAGTGATACCAAGTTTTGTCTGAACTGTTAATGAGGACCTCAGAGAGATGGACAGCGGTGGGAGACACACAGGTAAGGCTGGGATTGCAATTACCTGTGATCCTTACATGTCATCAGTGAGAATTAGAACTATATTGTAAAGCCACCCCAGAAAATGGTAAGGCTCAGGTGATGGTGTCAAGTGCTTTCAAACATGCTCAAAGGGATTCTAGTACTTCACAACACTGCTAATGACCATTTTCCTACCTTGTACTGTAATTGCCCATCTTCCTTGCCTTGATACAGACCTTAGAGCATCAAAATACAAGCAAATGCTTCTAAAAGGTAGCTTGTTTTGCTAGATAGCACTTTGGAAACACACTTGCATCATCTAGAGCAAAATATCTTTTTACATCTAGCTGGAAAAAAATGGATTTTTCTCTAACTAGTAGGATGCCATCTGGGAGATCAAGGCTTAGTTCCTTTGGGTTTCTGCATGCTGGCACTGGAGAATGGTTAGCATAAAGGAAGCACTGCTCAGCTGTTTAGTAAATCTTTCCCTTCTGCTTCCTCTAAAGGTTTGTATTTAGGCTTTATTTAGTTGTAAACAAGCAATTGTGGCTTGTTGTGGTTTGGGTTTTTGTGCAAAGGGCTGCTTTTAAAGGAAACTTCAGCATCACAGCATTTTCCTTGAGGGCACCCCAAGTGTAAGCAGTTACTGATGTTGTCTAGGGCTGCCTGACAACTCAGCTCCTAGAGCACTGTGGGTTGGCTCCCAGCTCTGCCCCTACACACCAAGTTCTGGGCTTTTGAAGGGCAGTGTGGCTACACGACCTGCTTTCAGCTGGTGGCTGCAAATGGGAACTCATTTACTGCACCAGGAGCAACTGCACTGCTGCACCTGACATCTACATGTGTGAATTCTCAGGTTCTCTTCTCCTCTTATTTTGCTTATCTGCTTAGGCTCAAAAAGAGCTGATTTACTTTTTCCCCCCCTAGGGCTGCAGCTCTCCCTGTTTACACACCACTGATACCTTTTGATATGTGGTCATGAAAGGGTCAAAACTGAGCCAGGATTACCCAATGCAAACTGAGCCTTCTCATTTTGATTCTGTTTGTTTTTTTCCTAGTAAATTCCAAAGTTATGCTATGTTAGATGATGGCATTAGGAACAATTTCATCTCTGTCATTATCTGCCAGATACATAAGGGACATAAGGGACAGTGCAGGGAGCTTGTTTGAGGGGCTCAGTGAACAGTGTGGGTCACCAGGCAGGGACAGCCTTGCACACCTCAAGAAGTGGAGTTTGACTGGTGGTGGCTTGGAACAAGAAAACACAACAAAATAGTTCCATGGGTCATAAAGGAAAAGTGTTCACAGCACCCTAAGAGGAAAAATAAACTAGGGGATGACTGAACAAAGAGGTATTCAAGTGGAAACAATGAAAACACCAGTCACGTGAAGCTTTATTAATAAATGAAGCCTATTTATTACTTCAAGTGTTAATGGTAAAAAAAATTCAGCACAGCTGTTGCATTTAAAAAAGTGAACCTACATTAAGGACTATGCTTCTAGTTCAGTAAACAGATGAACCCGATGTCCTTTAATGACATAATAGTTGAGCATTATACAGTACATCTTATGAAGACCCGTAAATTAAAGAACTACTTTTTTAAATTTAGTGATTACAAAAATTCTTTATTCACAGCTTTAGCTTCTTTTTCCTTCCACGCCCATCAGGAGCACCATCCATTTTGCGCTTCTGGGCCTGCAAGGGAAGGTTTTTAGTGAGTCACTGGGATACAGAAAGCTTGTAAGCAACAATGCAGTTCAAGCCCAAGCAGATGGAGATGTTTTAAACTCACTGTCCTTTATTTACCACCCACCACCGTCCTGAATGGCAGCATGGACTTCAGACTAGCTCTGAACACTGCCCTATGAAGTTCGTTGTTGCTGCTTCTAAGTAACTTTAGGTGGCACTTCTCCTGGACAATTAGAAAACTCCCTGTCTTTAAAGGAGCTTTTCCACACAAAGGTCTTTTTAGATCTTACCGAAGATGGTTTTGGTCCACGCTTCTTCTTTTCTGCCTTCTCCTTTTCTTCCAGTTCCATGTTTTCTCTTTCAATGAGGGTGATTAGAGTATTGCATCTCCTTTGCAGCTCCTAAATGGCACAACATACCACATTAGGCAGCCACTTACATGTGAGAATCATACTAGAATATCTGAAATGCCTGCAGGTAGGTAAAAGGTTTTTTTGCTGTATCTTAGCAGAGTGAAAAAGGAAGGAAATATTTTGATAGTTACTGGCTGTTTTCACAGGAGTGGATTTGGTCACAGACGTTTGTTTGGAATGTGTGCATTCAACCCAAATTCAAGTTGATTTTGAAAAATGGTACCTTGGAATTTTGACTTTCTTCTCCCATAAGACTTTTTAGTTTACTGTATTTGCCATCCACTAGCTGTTGCTTAGAAGATGTGCCCACACCTGAGTCTCTCAGAAGCTATTTGAGCAGCCTGGTGTATAACTGTTGTCACAGGCATTGATGACCAAGGAGCAGAGCAGGCTCACACGTACCATTGCAGTCCTGGACTTGAGGAACCAGTCAAATCTGAACTGGGGGGAGTTCCTGATACACTGTCTTAACTCATCGTAGACATTTTCTTTATCAAATCCCAGCTTGTGCAGCATACAGATGAGAAAACGATCCTCCTCTTCAGTGTAATTCTTCCCCTTATTGGTACCATATGATATTCTTAGCTGGTGGAAAGGGGCTTTGTATCTGCCAATCTAAACACAACAAATGTGATCACACAAAATGCAGCAGGGCCTGTTTCCTGTGAACACAATACATCACACCAAGACAGGCAGGTGAACAATACCCAGTTAGGAAACTACACCTTTTATGATCTCTGGTGCCAAACTGTCACCTGTAGGAACTGTAGGCTCTAGATACTGCACTTACCAACACCATCTACACTGGTAAATTCTGCTTTAGAGAACAGACAGCTTTGTCTGATCTTCTGGTTCACAGTAGACTTCAGACCTATCACTACATTTGAAAATGGCAAAGATCTGCCAGGGTGAAAAATGGCAGTGATTCCCTACATAAAAATTCCCAGGAATGGGCAAAACCAGAGAGAGTAAAAAGGTACAAGAGAGTGTAGCACAGGGGGCAGCTGCCTCCTGGTTAACTGAGCCAGAGAGCCCTCCTTCCTTGACTTCCCTACGAGAGACCAGCAGCTACTCAAACCTGAAAGGGGGGGAGGAAATTCTGATATATGGGCTTAATTCCCTGCCAATCTGTTCACTACCAAACCCTGGCTGGTGACACGGATCAGAACGAAAGCCTCCTCATCTTGCCAAGTCTTCCCTTTTAAAGTGCTCTGAACTTGCATAGTAATTTCAGTTACAGGGGTCCCATCTGATTCTCCAAAAGGCCTGGAGTTATTGGAGTCTGTGACACAGCACTACCAACTGTTTGCCTGGTGAGCATGATGATTGTTAGGAACAACAGGTTAGGCCATGCCTAAAGTTTTGTCACCAGCATTTCTACTGCATGGAAACGCAGAGGAGGCAACACCATGCCCAAAACCTCATCTTCACACATCAGGAACAATGGCCAAGGTCCTGCACCTCACCTCGGTGGCACGGGGAAATGAAGCAGAGTCACAGCACAGGTACCTTTGTGTCAAGTGCTTTTTTGATGCTGATTCGCCTCTGAATCCTGGCCTCTCCTCGTTCTATCTGAGCCATGATCTTCTCTATGTCCTGCAGTTCATTGCATCGTTCCCAGAACACGGCTAAGAAAAGAACAACCCGTTAGTTTCTTATCGTGCATCCTAAAAGTTAGGGTTTTTTACCTCAAAAACTGATTTCCCAGAACCTCCTGCTGTGTCCCAAGGGGCATGCCCTTACCTGGTGAGGACCCTGTGCTTCCCACCAGCCCCTGCTGCAGTACTACCAAGGCAGTTTTGAAGGGGGGAGGTAGGGGGTGCTCAGTTTAAACGAGGCACAAGGTTTTAATTAGTTAGCCAATCTCCTTCAAGAAAAAAGCTTCTTAAAATGGAAACTGATGTGACAACAATACATTTTTAGAGAGGGAAGCGGGAGGGCAACTGAGTGACCAAAGAGAAGAGCGAGTGTCTAAAAGACAATAAGGTGTTTAACTAAAAGGGTATTTTTTAAAGACTTTTTGCATCTGTAAGCTGCTATGTACCTTTACAAATTTAGCCCCAGACCCTGCAGCTGCACTGGAGCAGAAAACACTCCTGAGACATCAGAGGTAAGTAGCCAAGTGGACTTAGGTTACAAAAAAACCCAATGGCCATTATATATGCGGTCACAACATGTTTACTGTCTTAGTGAGGCTGAGGTAATAAAGGTGTAAAGATTAAAGAACACTATTAGCTAGTGAAGAGAAGGCACAATGAAATCCCCTGGGCTAAGCATTATTTCTCAGCATTTCATTTTACAAGCATTAACAAGAGCTGAAGACAGCTGGAGTCTATTTAGGACACACTGAAGCAGGTCAGTAACAGTTTACATGCACGTTCTAGTGCAGCTTTCATTATGCAGGAGCCAAATGTGGTAAAGTCCAGAACTGGAGATCCCAAATCCATCAGTACACTTCTACCCTGAAGGTGCTCAAGAGCTATTTAAGAAATTCTCAGCAGTAAGGTGCTCCAGGCTCACAGGGAGCTGGAACTAGGAGAGCAGCATTAGACAGGGACTCACACAGCTGGCAACTTAAGCAGTTACCTGAATACTCAATGACTTCCTCGGGGGTTTTTCCTTCCACTTCTCGTGCTATATTTTCAATGTCATCACGGCCCCACTTCTCATTAGCTTTGATGAACTGGTTGAAATCTCTCTTGTTCCAGTTAGTGAATCCCTTTAGAGCAGTCAAAAGGAAACATGGCACACAAGTTCAGCATTTGTCTTGCTGCAAATCTGTTTCAATCAATCTCTTTGATTGGTCTGTGACAGTCCCATCAGTCTAACAGCATTAAACCCCTGCCTCCTCTGCAGCTTAACGTTGGCAGAGATAGTTTTTATGCTGCAGCCTCCGTAGCCTCCCCATCTAAATACTGGGTAATGCTCAGCACTGTTTTGCTAACTACCAAAAGTCTTCAGCTCATAAATCAATCCCTTCTCTTAAAGAGAACATGGAATCACTTTTTAAGAAGAAAAACCCTACAGGTGAAGCAATGAGCTCTGTAACAGTCATGTTCTGTCAAAAAGGCCCAGCGAGTGCCTCACGGCTGCCATCAGCCACCTCCCCTGGTCACCCTCCCATGGAAATCTACAGCCATCCTGTCAGGGCATTCAGCAGGGACAAAAACAGTGATGCTGGAATTGTCAGCTGCCAAAAGAGGCTCATTTTACAATAGCAGTAACTTTTACAACCAATAAAACACCCTGCCAGCCATGGGATGATGGAGCCACAGCTTACTGGATGGCACTGTTCTGTCTCCAGCCTACAGCAAGGGAATGCTAAAGCCCTTCTCAGCCAGAGCCAAAGCCTGCAGCAGTGCCAGCTATGGGTGACTCGGTGACCAAGGAACAGAGCACAACCCAGCTTCAGCTAAACACCCAGCTATACCTGCGTTAGAAGCTTCTCTTTTTCTTCTAGCTCTTCATCATTAAGAGGTTCAGCCTCATCAATCTTCAGCTGCTCTTCCTTTTGTGCTTGGGCTGCGTTGGGCAGGTCAGGATTACGAGGTACCTGAAAGGTTTTGCATTTTGTAAGTTTTGATAGTTTTTCACAGGTAATTGCTAACTTCCTCTTCTGTTTAATATAAACCTTATCAGTTGTTCAGCTCAACACCATTTAATTCCATTGGAGTTGGTGTGAGGGGCAGGACAAGTACATCATCTCCTGCTGTTGCAGCAAACTGCTGCAATGTGTGAATCCATCAGTTACCTTGTACCCAATTGTCTTCCTGTAGTAGAGAATCTCTTTTTCCAGTAGTTCAAAGAGGCGTGGAGGAAAGAACTGGAAATCCTGTACATTTGGCTGTTTTGGAGGCCGTGGTGCCTGAAATACAAACAAAGTTTGTTTGACTCCCTTGCACCTCCAGAACCTGCCTGCTTGTAGTCACTGATTTCAGTTTATGAGCAAAAAAACCCCAAGCTTTATTGATACAAAAATGCATTATCTTAACTAAAGACAGACAAAAAATAATCAAAAGATGACACCCTGCACTACAACTACAACCATGAAGAGTTTTAAAAGTAAAAGACCTGTGAGAAAAGGGGAGAGGGTCTTTTAGGAGGAGGCAGCTGGGGAAGAACACACACATCTCCTTGAACAAAGTTCAGGTGTTATGAGAAGCAATAAGGAAAGGAAAATTCACATCCACTTAAATAAAAATAAACCAAGGAACACCTTGGTCTTACCCTCCTAACGTCTTACAAGTGTCACCCTGCCCTGAACTTATGTCTCACCAAAGTTGGTCTCCAGTTCTTTGGATTTTTCTAAATGAAAATTGCCCCCCCTATTTACAAAAGCCAATATAGCAATTTTTACTGATTTCTCACTTTATTTATCCCACGCATTTGAACAATTCATTTTTCCAAAGCAGTGGACTCACCTTGGGTGCTTTTGGCTCACTGACTCGAAGAGCCTCCCTGAAGTAGGCGTCCACAGCGTAATTGGCCTTCCGCTCCCGTTTGGGAGGCTCGATCCACTCTGTAAATGCCATCTATAAGAGCAAATCCCACCACCCCAGAAAACATTAAGACTAAGCCTCACAAAATATTCAGACCAGCTACAACTTTTATATAAAACTGTCTACTTCTACTTCATTAAGGAATAAAACTGATAAACTCTCTTCACAGATTACATTGTTGTTTAACCAGTACCTCTTCAATAGATAGGGTGCAATCATACAGCTTGGTGCCTCCCTCCAAAAACATTTCAATGTTACCTTCTGTTTTTCTCTGTAGTCTTCCCCTTCAAAATTATACACGCTGGACTCTGTATCCATTGTGAAATTCCTGAGTGAGCTTTCACCCATCTTGGAAAGTTTTTCATTCATTTCTGCAGTCTTGGAGGAGGGGGAGAGAAAAGAAGAGTGTCAGTTTTGACAGGTACGTCTTTTGTTCATTCTAGAACACCTCATTTGTAACAGCAGAAAAACCAAAGGTGTTTGAGCAACATGAGAACCTCTATTCTCTCCAGCTTACAATTAAGTTCTCATCTAGGAACATACTACCTTGCCATCAAATTTCAGTCCTGTTTTTTTAATTTAACTTTCTCTCACCTTCTTTGCACCTCTTTCCAGAATGTGATCGATATCCTCATCTGTGATCTCGCTCTCCTTTGAGGCAAACACGTGTGTGGCTCCATGTCTGATCATCTGCAGCATCTCATCCTTCCCCAGTTTATTCAGGTTTTGATCTACCAGTCTTCCTGGAGACAACAGCATTGCAAGAGAGCAGCTAACTAAAGAGGTTACATTACGAAGGGAGCAATAAATGAATTTTCTCCCCTTTACATTGCCACATTCAAGCTGTATCCTTTTCTCTCAGTAAAGGACATTCCAAACAAAGGGGGAAACAGAAAGAAAAAAACCCAAAGGAAGTGAACTCTAGCCAGGGGTCACATACATTTGCTTTATTCTGCATGAATTGTGCTTGAGAAACACCATTTTGCATCTCACATCTTGCACACACGCTCTGTTGTGGTGCACGTTTGCACAATTTCCTGACTAAACCTTAATGAATCTTTTTTTTTTTTTGAGAAGAAAGGTACTGGTTCCAATCAAGGCAACCAAGCTGTGAAAAGCACTGGAGAGAACTGCACCAGACAGACACAGGCACAGGCACACACACCCCCCCGGGTGCCCTTGCCTTGCTGGATGACTATGGAGTCCAGGCGCAGCTTCATCTCGGCGCGCTCCACGATCCTCTCCTCCACCGTGTTGTCTGTGATGAACCTGAACACCCGCACGGTCTTCGTCTGGCCAATCCTGTGTGCTCGATCCTGGCCAGACAGGCAAAACAACAGCTTACAGACCAAACAGCACGGCTGTACCGTTAGTCCTCAGCTGTCTCCAGTGTCCACGGACTCACTGACAAACTGGAGCAGCACATCTTTACAGGCAGGCAGTTAACAAGCCTGCCCGGGACAGCTCACTCCCACCTGCACTGCAGGCTTTGGGGGGGTGTTTTTTCCATGGCACCAACAATGAGTATGTCTCTAGATCTCATACCTAGAACTTATGGTGTGGTTTTGTTGTTTTTTTCCCTTAAATTGCAGAGGGAAGAAAACTGGATGCTCCTGACCTTACAGAACATCAAAGTATGTAAGAAACTCTCTCCACACTGACCCAGAGCTGCCCTTCCCAAAAGTGCCCTGTTGTGCCATGGCTGTTTCCAGACAAACACAATTCACCACCTCACCTGACAGACAAATCACCAACCACCATGAGAACCAGTGTCCTGAACACACCTGTACTGGCAGCTGGATCGACCTCATTCAGCTTCCTGACACTAGTTCCATCGTTCTTCTGAACTCT